GGTTCACCGGGTGCAATGGGTCGACCTGGTATGGATGGCCTACCTGGTGCTAGAGGTGAAATGGGCAGCCACGGTGCTGATGGAGAAACTGGCCCCAAGGGATTGCCCGGTCCTACTGGACCACCTGGCCGAGCCGGTCCCACCGGAAAGTCCGGAATGCCGGGAATGGCAGGAGCTATGGGCCCACCTGGACCCCCTGGTCCACCGGTAAGATCAACAGCAATACTTTTCTCAAGTTTGAAGTTATTTGATCTATTTTATGCAAATCTACGTCTGTTTGTGTTCTACGTGCAACTCTTCTCTATCTTTTAGTATTCAATATGTGGTGTCATGCTATAGATGTTTTGCCCAATACATTTGCTCTCATCCTTGAGAAATAATTCGGTAGGGATTCATAAGAAACAACTACTTACACCTTTTCAGTAGGGCGAAGTTCCGCATATCAAAACATTTCCTTGACTATGCTGACCAATAGAAGTCGTTCTAATAGTTCTCTTGGTTTGTAGGTTTCCTTTTTAGTCTATTTTGTCCTTCTGTAATCCTTTCGCCTACATTTTAGTTCGGTAAAACAAATACAAGCAGCTTCCACTTTTTTCTTATTGGGAAGTTTTCACGCAGTAACCACGCCTTAATAACTTATGAACCTTTTAAATACAAATTCCCTAGAACACTTCAACTAGGAGACATTTGTCATTGGACGGCCCTTCGATAGATTCCTACTAATGCTTCTTTCCTAAATCCAGCGATCTTCTCAGTAGGCCTGGGACGAACTAGTACCGTGTTCTGGTTTTGTAAGTAAACGGAGGCCTCCCAACCTATCTCTGGAAATCTCGCCTTTTTCCTCGACTGCATTTGTAGCGGCAATCTCCCTACTGCACCCGCTACTGACTTTCAGTCCAGAGTGCCAGCTTCGATGGTCATAATATGACAAATGGCTCTTAAAAGTTAATTGCCTAGAAGTATGAAAAAGTTTTTACAAAATGTTATGTCGTGTAGAAGGCAGAACCGGGAGCTTGTCCCATTTTCTTAGATCCCCTGGTGACGGCGGTAGTTCGACTGTTGTGAGTGGCGACGCCCATGCGTGTCACACGGCGCAACGTCGATGATTTGCATCTGACTTATTTTACGGAGATTTAGCTGTGCCCAGCATCTATTGCATTGTCTCCGCCCTCACCTATATTGGCTATGTGGAAAGATGGGCCGAGTTGAGCACGGACGTGGGGGCTGAAATGTTTTACCAGTCTCTTTTAAGATGGTTAAAAACAATCTGGTCCCCATCTCTGCGTCTAGAGCATAGGACCGTGTTTGCCCGTCGATTGACGACAACGGTTACAGGCACCACCAGTGAATCCAAAACACCAGAATTCCGTTATACCGCACTGATGGTAATGAGGGTTATACGGGTGAAGCACTACGGGGACGTAGGAGAGAAAATAAAAGAACTATAGGAAATAAAACAGGAAATTGAAGATAAAATTCTACAAACACCTAACATATAGCAGCGAAAAAGCGCATAATAAGTAAAAAATGAATTAAAATAATGAAGAGTATTTGGGCGAACATGCGTAGCTTTCCTCGGGCCATTACATTTATATAGGGAGGGGGTAAAAAAGCAACATGCGGGCAATTATGTTCATCCTGACATGCAAATTAGTCATGGGAATGAGGGGATGGGGTTGGGGCTGGTAATACTCGACTGGTTACTAGGCAATGAGGGTTTGTTTAATCCGGACAGACGGGAGGGTGGAAGGGGGAGAAAGCACGGAAAGATGCAAATAGTTGTATAACTGTTGGGCATGCTGAGCTCGGGGCTTGCAGGAGGTTCCTCCACCATATCGCGGTTGCTTCTGCTGTTGCCAGCAAACGTTGATCCAGGGATTTTGGGGAGACCTTATAAATTACCCTAAAGGCTTTGTTGGGTCCCCCCCCTCCTTCCCTATATGAGTGTAATGGCCCGTGGAGAATTTAGTAAAAGCTACCTATGCTCGTCAAACACTCTTCTGGATTCTCTGGTGGGAATGCTTGCAACTTTAAAATAATACATAATAAATTAAATAAATTAGTATAAATTATTATTACCGTAAGTCCCGTATTACAGGAGTCTGTTTTTTTTGGCTTCCGGGACGCTACCTATAATAGACTGTTAGCGAAAACCATCCAAGCCAGGACTCTTAGCGCATCGTGCTAGAATTAGGCGCATCAGATTGACTGTGAATTGCAAAGGGTTGATTTGCTTCGGTGCTGGCTTCCCTTTTTCAGTGCACCAGTCGACTTTCGGACTGACAGACTCGAATCGGATGGAAAAAAGACCAAACTACCTTCACGGTCTTCTAATCATGTTTCTTTTTGCTCCACCTGTATAATATCGGATGTCTAAGACGGACGGATCGCTACCATTCCCACCTGCGATCCGAGCAGGATAGCTAACACTAGCCACACACACACACACACACACACACACACACACACACACACACACACACA